ACCGTTAGTGTGTGTAGTTTGTGTGTGTGTGTGTTATTGGAGGAGATTTGGTGGGTTTTTTTCTTTCCGTGTCTTGTGTGGAAATATTTATGAGCTTGTAGTGAAGAGTTTGGAGGGGAATTTATTTATTGTTTTGGAATAAATAAATGGTGAGGTGTTTGAGGGTGAGAAAGACAGGAGCACTGCTGTCCTTGTCATCTCATGTTTTGATCCACTATGATTTGTAATTAACTTTTTGTACTATGGTCTAAGAAGAATAATAATAATGGGCTATGATTTGTAACTAATTTCACTATATTACAAAAAAATAATAATGGACGTGGGCATAAATACTTTAGTAATCCACTATTTTTTAATACATATGTAGTTATATGAATTTTTTTCTTTTTTCTTTTTTAACTTTCCTATATATGGTGAATTGTAAAGTGATGGCTAAACGGTGGGCTGGGCCTGGGGCCAAGTGCTTAGGCGGAAACTAGTTGGGCCTGATCGGATTGTAAAAATATATTAATATATGGTCAAAATATTATTTATAAGCTAATAGGCCACAATATTGGGTTCTGTACTCCCTTTTTAATGTAATATACTCGTAACTATTGTATCACTTTCACTATATTTATATTTTTTAATATTTATCATTAATGTATGCTAGTACTGAAAGTCTTAAAAAAATGGAAGAAAGAAGTTTTTAGTTTAATAAATTTCAAACACTTTTTGAAATTCTTAAGAAAATGTAAGAAAGAAGTTGTTTTTCAATTTAATAAATTCCAAATACTTTTAAAAATTACATTGTTATTTATATTTAAAATGAGATTTTTCAATTGTACGTCTTATATTATAATAACTTTTCTAATTCATATATAATGAACTTTATAGATGCCATTTTGAATTGATAAATATTTTTATTAATTTTTAAGTGGTATTACTAGTTGATTTATTTTATAATAAATAAAATTTAATTGACCCTATGATTTTTATTTTATAATAAATAAAATTAAATTATTTCTTTTATATATCTGCAATATACAATATGAATATCAAATCGAAACTCGTCAAAAGGTAATAAATATCATATATTATATACTAAAATCTGACAAAAAAAAAATTAACTTTCTAAATATTGATAGAAGGGGATTTATGTATATAAATGAAAAAGTTATAATTAAAATAAAATAGGTAAAAAAAATTGGGCGCCTAACACCGCCTAATCAGCCTAGACGGCCACCTGACTCACGTAGACGCTTCTTGGCCCGCATAAATAATGTCTAATCGACTGAGCGCTTAAAAGAGTCGCCTAAAAAAAAAATTGTGGCATCCGAGTGCCTCTTAATCATCTATTTCAGAAGATCTTGGCCACAAATAAAATCGATCATAACCACTACCTACATTCCATGAAATTGAAATTTTTAATTTTTCTAATTCTGAGAACATGTATATTGAAAAAAATACGTAATTTAAATCCACCTTATATATATAATTCTCGAATGCGATGAGCCTAAGTGGCATGCTCTCACGCTTCGGAATCCTACGTGGCATAAAAACATGCTTCGAAGTCAGGCTTGGATATAAATATATATTCTTACATAAAAATAAATAGGTTTGGATTTCATTTAATGTCTATATTATTCACATTAAATCCTCATTTATATCTTCCTTCTTTTCTTCTACAACCTATTACCATAAACTATTTTAAGTTTTCTTTTCTTACATTACCATATATTACATTTCATTTTCTTATTTAATTCACACAAATTATTATATATGTTATTCTTCTGATTTTTAAAATTTTATAAGTTTTTTGTTTGTATTTTATTTTTTATATATGATGTATCAAATTATTTAGCTTTTATCGATCTTCGATTCGACATTCATATTATATATATAAAATACAAAACACTGATATATAGCCTTATAAACAAAACTTAAAATTATTTATCAAACTAAATTAAAATATATCAAATAAAGTAATATAAATTTTTGTGTATTAACATACTATAATATGCCTATTTTATTTGAAAAAATATATAAACAAAGTATGAACATCAAATTAGTATAAAAAAATAATTTAAAGGTTTATTTCTTGACTTAAATAAAGACTGCAAAAGGTTGAATTATGATCGTGAAAAAAAGTAAATAAATATTATAATTAAAATTATAAAAATAATTATTTTATTTCAGATAGTTTAAAATATTGCACTCATACAAATTATATTTTAAATTGTTGAATATTTTTAAATTGAAGTTATCTAAAAAAAATTAGATTAGGGAGGAAAACTGTATAAATATAAAATATACTTACAACATAACTAAACATAAAAAAAAAAATTATATATATATATATGTGTGTGTGTGTATGTGGTGTTAAGAAAATTATGATTTTGACAAACTAAGTATAAAATAAGGGTATTGTTTTAAATAATTAACTTCGTTATTTTTCAGTTATTAGTTGTATATTCTATTTATTATCATTCTATTATAAGAATATATATTCCTTCACTTCTTTATTTTGATATAAATTATATTTAACTTTCGAACGTCCGTGATGTTCACGGATGTTATTAACTGTCAAATAAATTAAATATATTCTATTTTATTTTGAAAATATAAAATATATATTAAATAAAAAATAATGCTTCATAAAATATTTTAAAGAATTCGAAATAATAATACAAAATTACTTTCTTAATAATTCTTAAAAGTTTTTTATTTTACAATAAAAGTTTCATTTTTTTCATTTTTTGTTGGACAATTATATTTTTATGAAATACCTGTGTAGTTCACCGGTGTTGTATTAGTTTATTAGTGAAACTCAAATACTCAACTATCAACTGTTTTTTCATCGTAAAACCACTCAGATTGGTCAAATTTTCATAATATTTCATCAAGGCCCAAGTTTTCAGCTGTCTATATGTCACCAATTTAATTTGCATCCTTAATTTCTCTCAAAATGATTTTGTACAACATATTTCGTTATGTTTTTGTATGCTCTGCTTTATTAATTTCTCAACATATCATCTTTTTGAATGACAGGCGCACAGTGGCATCAGGAATTCAAAAAAAGGTAATAATTAACGTTAAAGAGAAAAAAAGGTGAGAAAGAAAAAGGCGAGTATGATCGGAAAGAGGAAAAAAGCGAAAGTTGATATATTTTGTTCATTTGTTCTTTGCATATAAATGTGTGCATTCTCCTTTAGTTTATCCTCTTCCTTATTTTATTTTATTTATTTATATGTCTGCGTTTATAATAAAGAAAAAGATTTTGTGAATTGGAATTGTGTGGACTGTGGACACACTGGTGTTTTATTTATCCCACAAAGCAATCCTATGTCTCCTCTTCTACATACGCTTTAATTTGTTGTTCTTTTTTTTTTTTCAACTATCNGGCTCTATAACCAAACTAGAATATAGAAAATTAGCCTTTTATTGGGTTTAGTTAGTTGCATATGTTTTATAGCCTTTTATTGGGTTTAGTTCGGTGCACATTCAAGTTGTTGCATTTAATTATAAATTGAGAGAGATGGTCACATGAAATATTTTCGACTTGTGAAATTTGTGGTTATCTATACTTGTGTTTTATGTTTTATCTTTATTTATTTATTTATTTTACTCGTAAACTTTACATTTATTTGAAGTATCCAAATCCTACGACGCATCAATCACAACTAGTACGTATCCCGTGCGATGCACGGAACAAAGATATTAAATGAGTTATTTTCACACCCTTGTCAGTTTAAGTCTAAACAATAATAGGGTCATTATCTATTTTCTACCTCTTTTAATCAACGTTAAGTCTAAAAAAAAATTTTCCACATCTTTTAACCAGCGTTGTTTTTTTTGCTTGTAAAATAATTAATATTATCTCACTAAAACATTTATACTAATAAAAATTTAATTTTACATATAAATTTATCCCTTGATATAAGAGAAAGTAACAATTTTACTTATTGTTGTTCAATATATAATATTAATTATTATTTTGTTATATAATAAAAAGGAATACTGTTAAATAGTATAGTAGAATTGTTATAAAATTATATGAATTAATTTATTTACAATATGAATTTTGTATCTTTTTATGATTTGATAATATAACTATAATATATTCTTAATGATACAATCTAAAATCGGGTTACAAAATTTCAATACATAAATAATAAAATTTTTGCTAAAATGATAAGGAGGAACTTCCGATTTCAATCTACAAAAAATTTAAAACGATTTTATGGGATTTTGTTGATTAAACGGATTTTATAGGATAAAACAAATAGAACATAAGAAGGAAATATCAAATATACAAAAAATTAAAGCCGATTTTGTGGGATTTTTTCGCACAAAAACCAATTATATGGGAATAGTAATAGCATTAAATATAGTATTAATTTCAATATAAAATAATTAAATAAAATACATGCTGGAAATAGTAATAACATTAATTGCAGTTGACTTTTCTGGATATTATTTGTAGTAGATATGATCTATTTTTATATAAGTATAGATTCACAAAGAACTCTGACGAGGGTAAAATGGGAACAAGTATCTCTATGAAAGCGCCACTTTTAAACAATGTGCAAACAAAAGAAAGCGTGCATTGCCCCAACTCAAAATCTTGTCATACTGACGTGTTTGTTCCCCACCAATCATTTTCTGCTTTTAGCTCTTTTCTTTTGCCTTATTTTTACGTACTTTCATATTTATTCCATTCTCATGTTGGTCATTATTAATTTACTATTTGAAAAATAAATTCGACCTAACTCAATTCGTTTAACAAATTTCAAATCATAATTGTCTAGTTCGTGAATACGATTTTCTGGATTTGCGAACATATTTAGTTCGATTATTCATTTAATACCTGAAAAAAAAAGTTGCTCGTGAACGATGCAATTTGACTCGTTTAATAAATGAACTTATTGAGTCGTTCGAGAATAAATCAAGCAAGAGCTTTCACGATCTGAACATAGTTGTATTCACTCATCTATCAACTTGAAGAAAATATATGAAGTAATATATATCATTTTATTTTTATAGTACTGTACGAATTATTGAATTTTAAAACCAAGAGAATTATAATTGATTTTTTTAAGTCTCGATTAAGGTCCCGTTAAATACTTGTTTGACCGTATCTAGGAATTTAAACATTACAATATTATCCCACACAATCAATCGGGCCAAAAAGTTATTCAATCAAGCCGTTAACATTAATCCTACATGTATCCTACAAAGCAAAACGCCCATCCACATCAAATTAATATATTTTTGAACAATAAATCCTACTTTCCAACATACTTTTTAAAATGCTTTACTGATTGAGATGGGAATATAAATATTAAGGTGATGATTGGAAATTAAATTTATGCCAAATCGAAAAATAATTTTTTTTCAAAATGTGAACGGAGAAAAATACACTGTTTATTTCATCTTATTTTTTTCATTCATATCCC